TATAGGGCAGTATGCTTGGTGCTGTGGCCTAGGCTTTTCCAAAACACAAACACACTATCTGCTCTTGGGAAATGCAGAGTTGAAGAGATAAAGACTCTTCATGTGTATCTGGGATGTTACAATAAGAATTTACGAAAACGGATGGTTTTAGATAATTGCCACTCAAATCATGAGGGAAAAACCCAATTCAACTAAATAGGGCTTCCTTTAAAGCACCAAGAATGAATAAATGCAAAAATAAAAGTTATGTAGTTTCCATCAATCATTCCAGGAGAACATTTAAGTATTGATGCCCTTATCTCCCTCTTGAAGATATGGCAGGCATGTTTAGACAGTTTGTAAATAAGGCAAGGCTGAGATTTAAAGGAAATATTAGTAGAATCAAAAGCCAACAGGATCTTGGAAACATAGGCTAAATTATGAAAAAATTTTGAGAAAAAACCTCATTCACTTTCATCTTCTAATTCAATGTAGTTCATTTTTCAGTGACATTAAAATCATTCTAATGAAGAAGGCATATACATTCTCTGCAATTCGAATTTCCTTTGTTAATAATCAGAGCAAAACATTATGATTCCATTTCATGACTAATTACTAAGGTAAAGGTTGTGTGAAAAACATCAATAAAAATGGGATGTCATTCTCAATTTCAAGATTTCTGTCCTTAATAATCTGACATGTTGTTTCATGTCCACAGATTCATATTTCTTGCATAGCGAGAACATGCCTGGCAGAGATCCCAAATTTTTAAGATATTATATGCAAAAGGAAAGTAATTTACGTGCAGTTTTAGAACTACTTAGCTATGAACTTATACATAAGGAAAGTGAAAATATGCTACCAAGCATCAGCAGCTCTGTTGGAAGAACTAGGAATCTAAGCGGATCCCAGTTCTTACTTTCCAAACCAGAATACTAGTTATAGGATCTTGATCATGTCCCCCATTTTGCGACTCCTGTTGCTGAGGACTGCCACTGTTACATATTCCCATCTCTGTGTCCTAGTGGACATAGATGAGGATGTGGACATAGATGAGGATGTCAGAATGGTCATAAGACAAGGGAAGACACAGGATTCATACAGAACTATCACTTACTAGCAATACCTCACTTCTTTGCATATTAAAAACAGAACAGCCACAGAGAGGCAAGCGTATGCCATCAAGTTCCTTCTCCCTCAACTTGTAGCTTTCTTTCAATATCATTGTTCCTAAGTGACCCATCACTGGAAAAAAAAAAAAATCACATTTCATTTTGTTTTCCAGCTTTTTCGGAATCATCTCAATCCCTTATTCTTTTCAAAGTTTCTGGGTCTTATTTCCTGACTTTGTGTTACCTTCAATTTAAGCTGGTAAACAATTTCAAGCTTGAAGGTGCTAATAAGTGATGAGACAATTGTTTTATCGTCCATCACTACTGATGGTGACCTGTGCCTCTTCAGAGGAGGCAGTGTTGAGACTCTACTATAGGATTCTCTCATGGGGAGAGGAGTGGTTTCTCCACTTGGGCATCCCTAATGCTCACAGAACAGACAGGTACTTAACAAGAAATAGAGCTCAAGTTCTTCTCAAAGTTCCTCTCCAGTATCCTGGAGAAAAAATGAGAGAAGAAAAGATCGAGTTGAGTAGTATGGGTAGGATATTGACACTGATGTTGTGTGCACATGTCATCCTAGAAAAGTTTTTTAACCTTTTTTTTTTTTTACTTTGACTTATTAATTTCTAAAGGAACAATAATATTTTCTACCTCACACAGAGATTAGGAAGATTAAATAAAAGATCAGACATGTTAATCACCACCAAATATTGATGCTTAAGAAAAAGTTGTTTCCAAAAATTTGTAGTTTAGAATTATAACGGGAGAGTCAGGAATCAACTTCAAATTGAACATGCTCTCTTTCAATCAGGTCGGTCCTCCTAGTGGCATTATTAAAAATCTATTTCAAAGAATCAATACCGAGTGTGTGTGTGTGCGTGTGTATAATAACTGACACTCAGGAGAAGTAGGTTGCAAATGGATAATCCTTTTAAATATCAGTATTTCTTAAATAACAATAATCTCCAACCCATAGAGCAGTGCAGTCTTAGCTAGATACCTATCAGGAGGGCAATGACATCTATGTATTTTCTTGACTTATTTTCTCCCCTTCTTCATTCTTTCCTTTTCTAACACCATTGTAGAGTTTCCAAGACTCTTGTTCAGATACTCCACTAGGATTTCTCTAAAGTTTCCTTTAGCTGGTTTATAAAAGCACCAAAATGGACTTTAAATGATTAAAGTTTTTTTTTTTTCAAATAACAAATCTGGATACTTTCTAACAGAATTGAGAAAACAGTGGAAGTAAAGAATAAAGTACCTAAACAGCATACCTTTTTCCACACTGACAGACCATAGTCACAAGGGAAGGAACATGAGAGGCAGAGGGGACAGGAAATTTGGTTGTTATGACTGTTCAAGAAGAAAACAGTCCCCTGACTGGAGATATTCTAGAACTGTGCTTCCCCAAAACTAAACACATGTGGTCATTTCAATTTTAATTAACTAAAGTTAAAATTAAATTCCTCAGTTGCACTAGCCACATTTCAAATGCTCAAAGGATATATGTGGCTAATGACTACTGCATTGAACAATGTAAAAGAGAGACCATTTACATCACTGAAAGAAAGTTCTCTCGGACAGGACTGCTTAAGAGAGAGCTTTTTGACTTTTTTAGATAACTTTCAAGTCTCATTTCACAGGACTTCAAATTTTCCTGAGGGTCTATTATGTGACTGTAACAAATGCTGAGCAGGACAAAATATGGTCCCTGTCCCCTTGAGACACAGGGAAATAAGCAATTATAATATTGTACAATAAGTAATAGGACTAAAAATAGACCTAGGTTGCTTTAGAGGAATGGTCTTTAACTCAAACTGGTGGCAAAAAGAGATATGGAACTTTTCCCAGAGAAGATAGGATAAACTAGTTGTTGAGGGATAGATAGGAGTTGGCCAGAGGGGGAAAACAAAGCAAAAATTAACATAAAAACAAACAAACAAAAAACCAAGATGTCTAAGGAGAAAATTTCAAATATAAAAAAATAAGAAAGGGAACGGCACATTTAGAAACCACATGCTTCAGTATATGAACATGTGTGAAATAAGAGTAGAAACCTTAAAGTAAAAGGCTTGAGTTTCCATTCAAGCTTGGTATAAATTCACTTGCTTTTATGAGTTCAGGAATCAGAACAGAAAATTGCTGGAGAGAATATCTAAAGAAAGATTTGCCTAGGCTTGTGCTACTATCAAGAGGTGATATTATTAAGTGAATTAGAGATATCCTAATTTCAAAGTCACTGTCAAATCAGAATTTACCCCTACTCAGGTTTAATTGTAACACATTCCAAGACCTTGAGTGACTTGCCCCTTGGATTTATTAATCTTTCACTAGCTCGAATTTGAGAACTGTATCAATATTGGAATGGAAGGGTCCACTGACAAATAGTTATTTTCCTTTCATCAACTTAGTGGCAAAACATCAGTGTATTTATAAAGTTACAATTTTATATTTTTGGTTGTTTCCTGTTCTCTTTCCTGACACAACTTCTCCCAATATTAAAAAAAAAAAAAAAAAGAAGAGAGAGAAAAAAAAAGTACAATCCAGATTAAAATATATATATATACATATTATATATGTTATATATATTATATATATATATTTTTTTAATCTGGATTGTACTTTTTTCTCTCTCCTTTTTTTAATATTTATATAATTGTAAATTATATAATATTATTGTATATTGTATACAAAATTATTGTAAATTATAAATATATTTATATATTGTATATATATATTATATATAACATATATATAATATATATATATTATATATGTGTGTATATATTATATATATAGTGGAAAATTCTAATAAAATCTTCTACCAGGAAAGAAAGGCAAGGTATTTTTAAGGGGATCTCCAAAATCATTTCCACATGTGATTTATGAAATCCCCACTTTGTTTTCTAGTAGGATTTGTTTGTTTGGGGTGTGTGTGTGTGTGTGTGTGTGTGTGTGTGTGTGTGTGTGTTTTACAGAAAAAGCAGCAGGATTTGTATGGTGAATGAATAATTTTTTAAAAATAAGACAAAAAGCCCCCTAGCACTATGCACTACACAAATACAGAAAATTTCATCTAAACATTTCAGATAAGTATTTTATTATTATTAACCCATTACACTCCTGGTTTACCCCTTTTACAGATGAGAAACTGAAGCCTAAGGTCATGAGTGCTCAGTGGAAAAGCACTCCTTCCCCCACAAAATACTATTTTATGTATTACTTACCTTCTTTCCCCTTATTCTATTACTAGGTACTCAAATCGGTACCTAGATTCACACTGAATTTACTTCCTCCTTCTTTATTTAAGAAGGATCATTCCAGGAAAAGAGGCAGTCTGCTATAGTATAGATAGAATTTGGATAGAATTCAGATCTAGACTGTGGTTCTGACTCTAACTCGACCTCCTGTAAAACCCTGGAGTGGTACCACCTTCTCCAAATTGGGATAGATATAAGGAAAAACTCAGATAAAGAATGTAAAGGACTGGGCACCTGGGTGGCTCAGTCACTGGATGCCTGCCTTCGGCTCAGGTCATGATCCCAGGGTCCTGGGATCGAGCCCCGCTTCGGGAAGCCTGTCCCCCCCACCACCCCCGCTTGTGTTCCTGCTCTCGCTGTCTCTCTCTCTGTCACATAAATAAATAAAATCTTAAAAAAAAAAAAAAAGAATGTAAAGAATTATTCTCAACCCACATTCCCCATACCAGTGGAAGCATGTGCTGTAAGAAGAGTTGAGCACAAAATCCACAAACACTTAAGTTTCTCTCTGCTCACCACCTTGATTCTCTGCCTGATGGCCTTGCCCATTCAGGGCCATCTGCCTTTTCATATGCCATGAAATACACAGATTTCACAGAGAAGTGGATGGGATGGCCCACAAATTACAGAAGTTCCTGCCACTCACCCACATGGGGTCACTGAGGTCCGAGTCCTGCATGCGGATACAGTCCATGCTAATCTCGATCTTGTTTCTTGTACCATTTTCTGATGGCTCATCCACAAAGTTCAAGTCAATGGGCTGAACAGAACATATGGGCCTACCATAAAGGACAAATGAAAGTGTGTTAAACAAGGAATGGGACTAAATAAAACACAAGCACCCGGGTGGTAACAAGGAGCTCTCTCTGTTTCAAAGCTGGCAAGGCTCATTTGTTGGAGTCAGAGACTCTAGGTTCACTTCGTGGCTCAACCACATGCCAAATGAGTCATCTCAGGTGGTTCAAGTCCTATTTGTACAGTGGGAATCATGATCCCTGACCTTCTCAGAGAATTGCTGGGTAGAACATGGGAGAGAAAGGATGCATCAGGAAATGAGTATTTTAAACCCTATCCCTTGATACTCTTATCTTCCTCTGAATTTACTTACTTATCCAAACTTGATCTTAATAAGGGAGAAAAGAATCATTTTCCTAGCAAGGCATAAATGACCAACAAAATTTAATATTTTACCTTCCCAGTGGGTATTTGTGTTGAAACAGCAAATAAGAACTTTTAAGCCAAAGGAACAGATTTGGGGTATCAAGGGAGTCACTGGAGAAGTTACTTAGAGTTAGGCAGGAGAGCCCCCAACTTTTATTAATTTAGATTCAATTAATTAACATATAATGTCTTATTAGTTTCAGAGGTAGAATTCAGTGATTCATCAGTTGCATATAATACCCAGTCCTCCTTACATCACGTGCCCTCCTTAATGCCCATCACCCAGTTACTCTACTCCCTGACCCCCCACCCTTCCAGCAACACTCAGTTTGTTTCCTATGATCAAGAGTCTCTTATGGTTTGAGGAGAGCCCTTCTGATATTCCAAAATTATACCACCTTGGAATAATGATCTTTTGATGTAAACCGAGTAAACCTCTACTGAATTTTGAATCCAGAAATACTATTGGAGGAAATGAATTTTTCCAACAATAGTGACTGAATTTTATCGATTTTAGAAACATGCCCTAGTAAGCAATATTTTTTTTAAAGATTTTATTTTTTTATTTGACAGATAGATCACAAGTAGGCAGAGAGGCAGGCAGAAAGAGAAAGGGAAGCATGCTCCCTGCTGAGCAGAGAGCCCAATGCGGGGCTCGATCCCAGGACCCTGGGATCACGACCTGAGCTGAGAGCAGAGGCTTTAACCCACTGAGCCACCCAGGTGCCCCGTAAGCAATATTTTTATACTCTCTACCTATTTATAGTAATTCAAGTACAACATATTTTGGCTTCTTTGATACTCACTGTTCCAGAAAATCCCAGATATGCTGGAAGACCTCTGGACTGAGGAATTCATTTGTCTGTGTGCTCTGTGACATAGTGGATCGGTAATAACTTTCTTTCCAAGAGAAATGAGCTGGGGTTTCTACAAACCTTAATAGGACAAAAAGTAAATTAGAATTATAGTTTCTGTATTTAGGATATTGAATATTAAAACTAAAGCATACTTAATCAAGAAATCTCAGGTAAATTTTCAAAATCATGCAGTCATATAAAGCAAATTTCAGAAAGTTGCATGGTTGGTGTTTTGTTGGGCAGTGTCAGGGATCCCTGGCCATAAAGTCAGATAATCACATCCTCTATCAAATTCTTTTGTAACTAATAATTCTGTTACACTCTACACTTCCACTACCCAGGATCCATGTTCTGAAGATTTCAGAAAGAAAATAAACATTCCCTCATTAAGTCTGACAGCCAGGGTGACCTATTATTAAACCTGTTTTATAAACGTCTCAACGGATTATCTGTCCATTCTGCCTCCAGCTGGTAAAAAGCAGAATCAGAAAACAGAAAGGAGTTCAGAAAATTTAAACTTCATCCACAGTAAAATCACCCCTCTCATAACTACTTTCTTAACATTGTGCCCAGGGAAAATAAATGCAAACCTCTGAATCTAGATTTTTTTTTTAATCCCTGCTTAACTTACTTTGATGTGTGTGTGGGTGGTTTTTAATTGGAGTGTAAAATTCTGTGTTGGACTAAAGGATAGGTACACATCTGAGTATGCTGTAAATGAATGCTATTTCCGTTTGTTCCATTTTGTTGCTGTCCCCAAGTTTGCCTTTACTTAAACAAAACAAAATAAAACAAAAACAAAAATAAACAAAAAAAAAAAACCCCTCAATCCCTATATATGTGAAGTAAAATGCCAGCTTTCTCAGGTGGTGCTGTCTCCAAGTCTATGTATTATCTACACAGATCATCTCAGTCTACGATTCATTGTGATTATCAGTGGACTAATTTTACCCCAGGATGAAATTAGCTAAGCTCTTAATCATTACTGTTAATATTATAAAGTGTTAATAAATAGTGTACTAAGATAGTCAATCATCTTAAATTTGCAAATGAATACTCTGGTCTAGTTACAGAATAGAAGATAATAACATTGGGTTTATTGTTGATAATCCCCAAACTATATGAAGAAGCACAATCATTTACTCAAGTTAAACACATAGAATCTATTATTTACTAGCAAGAATAAAGGTCATTGAAAATAAACAGCAAATAAGACTGTCTCACTCTCTAAGAAGGTACAGAAGGTAAGACGAGAAACCAAACCTCCAATAAATATAGTAAGAGTCTATCATCTCATCTGAGGGATCAAAGAAAGAGCCTTAAACAATCTGAAGAAATTAGCTCTGCCAGGTAAGGATTAATGATATGACTGAGCAGTCTAGGGTAACAGCCATAAACAAAATACTAAAATGGAAAATAACAGTGTATGTGAGAAAATCGCAAGCAACTCTGTTTGCACAGTTTAAGATCTGGGGCAGAGAGTGCCAGAAAAATAGAGCTGGGGAGTGAAGAAGATAATTATATGCTACGTTCAAAGAAGCTTAAATATTTCAAAATTTCTAGTTTTTGTGAAACATTTCTAAATGAACTTTGTATTTTGAGATCAATATAGATTCACACACAGTTGTAATGAATTACACAGAATTCATGTGCCCTTTACATCATTTCCCCCAATGGTAAATCACAACTTACACAACCCTTAAGAATATTATAATCAGGATATTGATACTGCTACAATCCACTGATCTTATTCAGAGATTCTCAGTTTTACTTGTACTCATTTGCGTGCGTGCACAAACACACACACACACACACACACACACACACACACACATGTATTGTGAATGTATCTAGTTCTACACAAGTTTTGGATCACACGTGTAGATTGGCTTACCTACCACCACAGTATTAAAAAGGATTTGAAGGACAAGACTAACAGAATACCTCTCATATTGATAAATCTGGAAGCTGTGTGGAAAGGTTTATAAGCATATCAGTTTATGGGCAAAGTGGTTATACCAGTCCAGGGAAGACAATTGGATGCTAGCAGAAGTAGGGATGGAGAAAGTGTGGACAAATTCATTTATCAGTGAGAAGGTTAAATCAGACATTGCTGATGTTATGTTCACATTTTCTCTCCTGTTTCTCTCTGACTTCAAAAAGACCATCCCTGGATTTCTGATGTCACCACTAACCAGCTGCAAAACTGTGGAAGAGCCTCCCTGCTCCCTGAACTTCAGCTTCCTTGTTTGTGACACAGAGTTGCCTCACAGATGCCTACGCTGTCCTCAGTGATTTCCTCCCCACAAAGCATTTCCTGGTCCCTTACTTGAAATAATCCTTCTCCTCCAAACTTTCCTGACCTTTCATTGTGACTCACCAATGCTAATCAATCCTATTTTACTTGTGCAACAATTGAGTGTAGAGGATTTTAAGTAACTTGAAGGCAAAGCCCATATCTCATTGAATTTCTTAATTTTCTGTTTCCTTGAGGTTAGAGTGAAAGGAACATGGGTTTTGAAGTGAGACAGACTTGGGTTCAAATTTTAGCTCTACTACTGACATACTATAAAGTCATGGGCAAGTTACTTAACCTCTTTGTACCTTATTTTCTTCAGCTATGCTTCCTTCACAGGGTGGTTGAAAGTTTTGCTTGAAATAATGTGCTACACATTTTCTATACAATACCTGGTAGTCAATACATTGATTGGATTAGATCAAATATATAATCTGTACCCAGGAAATACTTGCTGAATTGAACTAACAAAATAGCATATTTGAAAGGCCCCTTAAAGCTGTAAAAATGTCACACAAAAGTAATTATAATCAAACCTGAATTAGCCCTCATTTCTCTGCAGTTCAAATTGTTCTTTCTTTTTCTGTGTCTGTAGGCCCAAACGGTGTTCCCATTGTCTCTCATTTTCTCCTTGATCACCTTTATCTCCGGTTTGCTACACTGAATTGGGCAACAACCCCTCCCCACCTCTACCCCCACTCCAGAGCCTAATGCTTTAAGGGGACTTGATTACAAAAAATGGGAGTGGGGTTTGGAATAGATTAGTGGCTTTCAAATTGGTTTCACCAAACTCTAGGGTTTCTGGTGCCTCAGTGGGTTCACCAGATGTAAAGAAATGTCCCTACTGGTAGGACTCCAGACACTCCTTAATGCCAGCAAGTTTGACTTTTGCCTGTCTTAAGTACATTAGTGTTCCAAGCAAGATTTTATCTGAAGAAAAGTTTCTGTTAACAATTTAAAAATCCGTGGTCTCAGAAGATCTTCAAAGTGTCTCCTGTGCAAACCGAGAATGGATTCTTGGTTTCTGAATAAAGATGGCAAACATTATTGAGAGAAAGGAAGGAAGGAGATCAGCTAGTGTCATAGGGCAGGAAGAGTGAGCTAAAGCCTTCCCATCTTCAGAGGCTTTGCCTTTGGGTGAATCTCAGTATCAATTACTCATAGAACAATCACTCTGTTCAAATGGTTTTGTCAAATCAGTCACACCCAAAGATAGGAAGTCATCACTTTTCTTTTTTTTTCTTTCCAGCTTGTTTTTTGTGGATGACCTCTCCTACACTCTGCATTAACTCAGAACGAGAAAAAAAAAAAAAAAAAAAAAAAAGAAAGAAAAAAAAGAAAGAAAATAAAAAAGAAAAAGAAAAAGAACCCTACTCTGTAGAATGTGACCTGAAAACCCCAAAAGGTATTTCCTAATAGTCTGCCTTCCCTCCTGCTCTTCCTGTTCTGTCCCAGAAGTCACCACTCAAATCTCTTACATTAAGTTTCTTTCAGCACTCCCTCAAAATCTCCAAATCTACTATTTCAGAATTCAATACAACCTTAATTTTATAGAGAGATTTTAGAATTAATAGGCTTCCGAGACCATCTAGCTTACTTTTTTTCTTATTTAATAGATGGAAAAGCTAAAATCTAAAAAGAACCAGTTCACCCCAGCTATATTGTATTCAACATAGATCTTTACCCCAGTCTGGGAAGAATAAACTGATGCATCAGACATGAATTACTCAACCTTTGGCCTCTTGAAACAGTTCCCATACTTAACATTTTCTGGGTATTTAAAACCTGCCTACTCCCATTTAGGATATCCAAACTCAATACTATGAAAGTAGAAGCATATTTGATTAGCTATCCTCTAATTCCCTTAACAAAACAAAGCAGCATTTAATAGTGATGCAAACCAGAAACTCACTGGCTGTTCCTAGACTTCTGACTAAAAGGCTCCTTTGGCAGGAAGTCCTTCCTTTTGGAAGAGAGAGAATGAGGCATGGGGAATTCCAGGAAAGCAGATCTGGAGGGCTCTCTCAGTAACTGTGCGCACACTTGGAAAGATGGTGTCACAAATGAATCTAAATCTTTGAGGACCACATAGAATGTCAAAGTAGGTTGTGCCTTTAAAGACTGTCTAGTCTTGTTACCTTATTTCACAAGGAAACGGAGGCTGAAATCTGAAAAATTTAGCCTAGATCCACTGCCATGCTAGAATATTGGTTAATGAAAGCAGACTGTTCAATATTCTGGAATTTTCCAAGCCAGTTGTAAACATAGTCATTATTGTAATTTATTATGAAGTATTAAACTTCAAATTAAATTATATTAAAAGCATTTTATTTTACTATTATCTGTGTTCTTGAAAGCCATTTAAAAAATAATGTAGTGAAATTGTTCAGATTAAAAAAATCCTCTGTGAATTTATTGCTGTACTCATCTAATAATGTATTTTAGTCCAAGGCTTCTGTGCAAAGGACTCAACAATACCTATTGTGAGTATTACATGAAAGGCTATGTAGGAGATTTAGTAATGAATGAGGCATGTATCTTGCTCCTTCGATAGTTTTTCATAGCTTGGTGTCAGAAATAGAACACTTCCAATATTTGTCTAATTTTTACCTTTTGTCATAAGCTTTTGTGCTCCTAATTTTCCATTGGACTGTGACCTCCTAAAGAGCAGAAAACCAGCATGGGCCATTCATTGGTCTGTGTGTGATTGGCAGGAAAACGATTGTCATTGATTATGACAGGAGTTCATTTCACTGGGCCTGCTTTTCCAGTTTTCCACATG